TATTGAACAATCGGCTTACCAAAAAGGCAAAGGAGTTGAAGATCAGGTACTTATGGCTAGTGAAATGGTACATAGTCTGGACAGAAAATGTGATGGCGGGAATGTGATCATCAAGCTAGACATGGCCAAGGCTTTTGACAAAATTGAATGGTCTTTTCTCAAAGGTGTGCTCAACAGATATGGGTTCTCTCCTAGGGTGCAGAATCTTTTACTAGCAAACTTGGAGGCCACTTATATCTCTATTCTTATCAATGGCAGTCCCACTGGTTACTTCAAGATGAAAAGAGGAGTCAAGCAACGAGATTCCCTTTCCCCTCTCCTATTCATTATGGCTAGTGAGGTTTTCTCTAGGATGGTCCATCACTTCTTTTGCAACCACTACTTAAAGAACTATAATACTGGCAGAAGCATTCTAATATCTCACCTAGCCTATGCTGATGATCTAATTATTTTTCTTAATGGAAGGATAAGAAACCTACTCAGATTCAAACACATACTGGAGGACTACACTCAGGGATCTAGGCAGGAGGTGAACTTCAGCAAGTCATGTTTCTTTGCAGGTAAACACTCCTCTCCTTCTACCATTGCTAGGATGACAAAGGCACTGAATATGAAACATGAGAAGCTGCCATTCAGTTACCTTGGTGTCACCATATGCAAAGGTAAACTTATGAAAGGACACTGCCAAGGTCTCATCAAACACTTTGACGTCTACTTATCCAGCTGGTACAACAAGATGTTGACTCCTATGGGAAGACTTCTACTCATTAAACATGTTCTCTCCTCAATCCCCTTACATTATATGGCTGTCCAAAGTTTACCTATTTCCATTATCAACTTGCTCCATAGAAACATGGCAAACTTTTTCTGGGGTTATAACAATGGCAGGCCAAAGCATCACTGGAGGTCTTGGGAGTCCTTATGTTGCACTAAGGAGGAGGGAGGAATTGGGATTAGGAATCTTAAGGATCTACACCAGGCCTACTCCCTTAAATTATGGTGGAAAGCACACAAAGATGACACACTTTGGGCAAGATTCATAAGGGAAAAATACATTAGAAGGAACTCATACCAGGAAGGACTTGTTGACTCACCAACCTGGAAGAGAATATGCAGAATTGCCAATTTGGCAGATGAACACTCCTTTTCCACTAATGGCATCCTATCATGGGAAGATGGAGAGTTCACTTTAAAGAAAGGGTACAATGTCGTTAGAGATACTGGAAACACCCAAATCAGCTACAAATTTGCTTGGCACAAGCTACAGATCCCGCAAATTAGGGTTTTCCAATGGAAAGTATTTAACGAAATCCTACCTTTTCCACAACTCCTTAGGAAGCTCGGGTACCAGCTACCTTCACAATGTCCACTCTGCAAGAACCATGAAACAAGCACAAACCACACCCTCCTGCACTGCCATTTCAGCTCTAGATACTGGAATTTTTTTACTATCTTGCTTCAAGGTCCCTGCAAAAGAGATGGAATCAGTCTACGACAACATATTCTAGAGTGGAATCTCAGGTCTTCTAGCAAGACTATAAGAAGTAATCTCAAAATGGTTATAGCCGGAATCATTGCCTGGCATCTATGGAAAACCTATAATGCTGCACTCTACAGCGAGGAGCAACCCTCAGTGACAAAAGTCCTCCACAATATCAAAACCACTATCAAAAATTGGTGTTGGAACAACCGAGATAAGAGGTGGATGAACAAAGACTCTAAACTTTTTGAGTTGGGATTTCAAACAGTTTACCTCAACAGATATCAGCTCAATAGCTTCAGAGATGTATCACGGTATACACATGTACAATTGGCGGATGGAAGAACATCAGTGGGAAGAAGAAGAAGACGGTGATCCACAACACAATCATGTGGAGGTTGAGGAAGAATTTTAGGTGAGGAAAGAAGCGGTTAAAGATGGGCCTGATCAAGGATGATGAAAATTTGAATCCTGAGCATCCTCATCCCCCCTTTTCTGTTTACATTAGCAGGATATGTCTTTTTTTTCTTTTGACCTCTGAGGCTACGGTCTAGTCCTCCTCAGACGTGTACTGATATTGTCATTTTTTTTAATAAAAGTTCTTCTTTTCAAAAAAAAAAACAGCATTGGCAAGTTTATCCTAGAGAAAGTTCCTCTCATTCTATATATATATATATATATATATATATATATATATATATATATATATATATATATATATATATATATATATATATATATTCATGGGGAAGTTTACCCAGGTTCGAGCCCCAGCGAAGGCAGCAGCATTGGCTCTTTGTGCGTCATTAGCTTGAGAATAGTATGAACAGATACTACCTTGTAATAGAGTCAATAGCATTCTATATATATAGCAGTATCAACTTCACTATTCTTTTTGTTTGCCTTTGCATCTTTTTTGCTGTATCCAATCATTCCATTATTTTGTTTAAAATAAAAGATTTCGAAATACAGAGTACTTTGTGTTAGACGCCTCGCACACCTCTAGAGTGGGGGTGAATAGATGTGTTGCCCAAAAGACCAGTTTTTTTGCGCGAAAACGTTCTTCACGAATATTCAAAAAAATCAATGCACCACAAACAAAGTAAAGTGAAGGATAAGAGCAATGCACACACGATATATATTGGTTCGGCCTAAATGCCTACATCCAGTCCCCGAAGCAATCGTGCTCAGGCCTTCACTAACCCGTCAAACTTAACGGAGTTTGACAATCCGAATACAACTCGAGAACTTGATTTCACAAGCCTCTTATCTTACCACCAAAGTTTTGATTTCACAAAACTCAGGATTTCTTCCACCTAACGTTTGATTTCACAAACCATTAGAATTTCTACCACTTGGTGTAATCCCAACACCAAGAATACAAATCCCTTACAATAAAGTAAGAAAACAAACCGCAACCGAGTAATTCTCCCAACATGGAGTAGATTGTTGCAAATACAATGAAGTCCTTTAGAATATGACAATATCTCTCAAAGACTCAAGCAATGAGGAAAAACTCAAGCAAGAAATGATTTAGCAATCAAAACAATTCCGTTGCTTGGATATAAGGAGGGGATTGAGTAGAATCTCTTTGGATATTCAAAGGATATGTTCTTCAAAGTGTTCTAAGTGTTCTCTTCAAGATAATCACGAAGAGGGTTGTTTATAGAAGTTAGGGAGTGGATAGAGATGAAAAGAATTCAAAAAACTAGCCGTTTGGTAGTTGAAACTGTCGACTTATTCGAATAACTCAAGAACTATTCGAATAGTTTGGATCAATCGCGTGGCTTGAAAAACCAGTTCCTATTCGAATAAATGGTGATTTATTCGAATAAATCAGGGTGAAAAGCCAGGACTTATTCGAATAANTTGCTTGGATATAAGGAGGGGATTGAGTAGAATCTCTTTGGATATTCAAAGGATATGTTCTTCAAAGTGTTCTAAGTGTTCTCTTCAAGATAATCACGAAGAGGGTTGTTTATAGAAGTTAGGGAGTGGATAGAGATGAAAAGAATTCAAAAAACTAGCCGTTTGGTAGTTGAAACTGTCGACTTATTCGAATAACTCAAGAACTATTCGAATAGTTTGGATCAATCGCGTGGGTTGAAAAAACAGTTCCTATTCGAATAAATGGTGATTTATTCGAATAAATCAGGGTGAAAATCCAGGACTTATTCGAAGAAATGGTGATTTATTCGAATAAAACAGGTTAATTTCAGTCACAGGAAAGATCACGACTTATTCGAATAAACTAAAGATTATTCAAATAGAAAGGCAACTTCTCCACACAAAGGCTGATCTAAAATGAGTTTTAAAGGTAAGATGATAAGGGAATGAACCTTAGAGATTCCATACTCTTTAACACATAATATAGGACCTAAAACACTACCCAACTAAGGAAACAACCTCTTCGGTCTCGTTCCTTCCACCGATGCTCAAGTCCCTTCTTCACGGACGGATATGAACTTGTTGTAGCTTTGATTCTTAGCCTTGATGCACAAAATGATGATGATATTTTGTCACTCTTTTGTCATTATCAAAACCTAAAAGACAATGGGCAAAGGACATTGCAAAAATACATATCCATGATAGCACATTGTCCAACACTTTGCTATAGTTAATTGTGTTTGTTGTTAATTTTCATTTTGATATGCTTGAATGAATTACAACGAGGCATCATTTAAGTTGGCTTTTTTTGTTTGTCAGTGTGCATCAAATGAAACGCATGATGCATTACTGCCAATTTTTAATTTCGATTGTATATGGAGAAAATTATATTAAATTGACCTCTTGCAAATTTTTCTTGCATTTTGAAGTCTCTGTCTTGCATAGCTTTGTCCTCTTGTTGCATTCAGTCAAAAATCTAATCTTTCATATTGTATACGCAGCTACCACATCAGGTTGCCTTTTTATTGCACAAATATATTATAATGTATGCATATATGAGGTCTATGTCATGCATATAATGTGTGCATCACTATGCTCTTTATATTTTTTTACCTTGATTTTTTCGTTCTCTTTGTTTCCAGTTTCTATTAGCTCAAATCGTAGAGTGATATGTACTACATATGTGTGTTAAAACTCGCATAGGCAAACCATTCCTCAAATGTATTTTACACTTGATTAGAGTTTAATCAACAAATTGATTTTTACTGTTATGTTAGTTTTGCATTCTGAAATCAGGATAATGCATTCAAATAAGAGTGTTGAGTAAAAGAAAAATTAGAAGGGTATTTCAATTGATTATCGAATGTGTTCTTGCAAATAACAATGGCTATGTGCTATTTGCAATGTCTTCAATTGGTGTGTGCTATGTTCCAATTGCATCAATTGTATGTTTTATATGTTAGAGTGTAATTAAGATGTGAGTCTCTTTGAAAAATAAAGTGTTGTCTACTAGCTCAAATGGTAGAGCGGTATGTAATACAAATGTGGGTTCGAATCCTGCATAAGCAAATTATTTCTCAAATCTGTTTTACTCTTTCTTTGAATTGAACTATATCTTAATAACAAGTAGGGGGTGTTGGTCTTGCTTATATGTATTTCAAAGTAATGATTTATTTGCTTATATTCTAAATATGTAATTTAGCTTGTTTTGGCAATGCATAATAATTATTTGTTGGTGTAGGTTGGGGACTATAGGTGTAGGAGTGGGATCCTTAATTCTTAATATGTTACATCCCACAAATTGGTATTTTTTTTCTCTTACTATGCATTCTTTGGAACAAGATAATGCATCCTCAAATGAAGGTAATGCATTTATACATTGAGGTATAGCACAAGAAAGACAATCAAACGTCATAAATTGAAATTCACAAACTGATCAATAGCCCAAACACTTCTAAAATTAAAAAAAGCTCATCTCTCTATGCAGTGTGAGAACAATATGGCAAAAGAGATTCAATATGTGGAGCATAACAATACATTCAGTCTCAAAACATGAAATCAATGCATTCTCAAACTTTTTCATCGCATACAAGCTCTCTCAAGAGTCATAATTTACTAATCTGCAAATAATAGAATAAATTCAAAGAGCAAACAACAATGCATATTTCGACCATCATAGTGCATTCTCATTACAATTGTAATTTTGAAAAGTAGATAGGATTTTAATCTTCTTCATAGTAAATTGAACTTGAAACAATAAAATTTGTTTTCAATTTTTTTTGAAAATATTTAAGTAAATTGAATTTAGAAATTTTTTAATGAAAGATAACAAATCAAAATGAGATTAAATAGAAAAGTGGCTGGAAACATGAATATTTTTTTAATGAAGGAACGTGGGTGATGTGGCTAAGAATGGTGGAACATGAATTCTACTTACCATGTGACGGGCCTAAACTTTTATTATGTTCAACCGCACGATTGATCAAATCAAAGGCTCACATTCATTCTAATTTCTTTCACCAAGGTTCATTCTCACAGAAACCGGCCCATATATATTGTACCTGCGGCAGCCCAATCCACCAGTCCAGCAGCTGCCCAGGACGAAGAACACGCACCAGGCAGCTGCGAGGAGCGAGGAAACAGCAGGGAGGGAAACCAATTTGGGCTCATCATCATCATCATCTCCCTGGAAATTTGGGTCCCAAGCTCAAGGATGGATGCTTCTTATTTTCGGCTCCGTTTCATTCATTCTATTTGCTTTCGCTGCTGGGTTGTCCAAGCTTCTTCCAGCTTCTGGTAATCCTATAATAGCAGCCATTCAAAATGACAGATACTATTGCTTTCTGGTACCTTTGACACTTCCAGTTCTTGTTGTTGCTGTATATTTCCACTGGCTCAGCATGAAACTCTTCAAGCATGCTTACGATGTTTCCTATGTTTCTGAGAATTTGCATTATGACAATGGTGGCACCCAAGAACTACGGTAACACCCGTAAACATGCTCATCTGGTTCAGGTGAGAATGCACCTTGGTGAAAGAAATAAGAATAAAATCTAGCCTTTAGATCTGATGCATCGTGCGGCTAAGATTGCATCATGTGCTAGATTTTGAGATAGTGCGTTTTCAAAGGATTATAGTGCATTTCGACGTGATGCATTTTTAAACCATCTTGGTGCACCTAATTTTAATTTGATGCAATCTTGACCCTTAGATCTCACAATCTAAAGCATGAGATTCATTCTTATTTCTTTCATAAGATCGCATTCTCACTAGAACCTATATATATATATATATATATATATATATATATATATATATATATATATATATATTATTTTTATTTTTATTTTTTTTTAAAGCAGTAAATGTAGAAATTTTACAACACGTTCGGGGAGGACTAGACCAACGCCCCGAAAGTCAAGACGAGAAATTACAATCATATTTAACAAAAGAAAAAACAAGAATCCATTCCAGACATCTTCAATTGCCGTTTGCCGCCATACGAATAGTTTCCCCGCTCAAAGCGAATGTTTGTAACCCCAAATCCATCAACGTATTATCCTTAATCATCCACCCCTTATGTTTGTATTTCCAGCTCCATGTGGTCAGGATTTTCTTTAGCGTCTGAGTAATGGCAGTGATGTTCTCCTTCTCATTCCCAAAGGTAATTTCTGCATAGTGCTTCCAAATTGACCAAGATATCATTCCTGGTAATATAAGCTTCATAACTCCTCTCAGAGTTTTAGTATCTGATCTTAAATTCCATTCCATCACATGCTGCTTTAGTGAAATTCTTTCTTTTAATTCTGGCCCTTCGCAAATGCTTGCTAGTTTCTCCCAAATCTCCCTAATCTTATTGCATTGTAGTAGACAATGATCAATGTTCATTTCTGCATTGTGGCAGAAAGGACATCTGGAAGGCAGACAATATCCCATTGAGCCAAGTGCTTCCGGGAATGGTAATATATTATTGTTTGCTTTCCATAGGAACATCTGTACTTTAGGAATTTGAAGTGTATTCCAATTGAATTTGTCACTGAGCTGAAAGTTGTTTTGAATTCTGCAGTATTCAAATGCCTGCTTGATGGACATATGAATTTCTTCATTTTCGTCTTCCTCTTCCAGCTCCCTTGTGAGATCACCAAGGTACTCTTCTGCCTTAATGTGTATTCTGCAAATCCTCTTCCTTGTAGGAGAATCAGTGAGTTTTTCCTCGAAACTTAGAGTTCCATATTTAGCTCTCATGAAATGTGCCCACTTTGAACTGCTATGTCTGTAGTTCCACCATAGTTTGATTGAGTAGGCCTCCTGAAGCTCATGTAAATCTCTAAGACCCAAACCACCTTCACTCTTAGGTAAACAGAGGTCTCCCCATTTTTTCCAGTGGTGTTTTTCTTTCTTGTTATTCTTTCCCCAGAAAAAATTACTCATCATCGAGTGAAGTTTGTTGATAATGGACTTTGGAAGTGTATGAACTGCAATTAGATGTAATGGGATGGAGGATAATACATGTTTAATGAGTATGAGCCTTCCCATTTGGTTGAGGGTCTTGCTGTACCATGTATCAATGTATTTGCTGAAATGATTTAGAAGTTCCCCACAGTCTGTCTTCTTAAGTTTACCCTTACAAATGGGAGCTCCCAGGTATTTAAAAGGGAGCCTGTCATGTTTCATGTGTAAGAGATTCTCAATCTTTGAGATATCCCTAGCCTTGATTCCAGTGTAGAATCTGCTTTTATTGTAATTAATCTCCTGCCCAGAAGCATCCAGATACTTTTGCAGGAGATTTTTGAGCTTGAGCAGATTCCTAGCATCTCCATTGCTGAAAATAGTAATATCATCTGCATATGCTAGATGGCTTATCAATAAGTCTCTGCCTGTGTTAAAATTCTTGATATATGAGGATTCCATAGATTTGTGAATAGCCTTAGATAGACCTTCTGCAGCAATTATAAAAAGAAGGGGTGATAAAGGATCCCCTTGTTTCACCCCTCTTTTCATTTGAAAAAATCCATATGGACTCCCATTGATGAGAATAGAGAAGTAGGTAGCTTTTAGGTTAGCCATGAGCAGGGATATCACTTGAGTTGAGAAACCCAATTTCTTTAGGACCCCTTGTATGAATCCCCATTCAAGGTTGTCAAATGCTTTCGCCATATCCAGTTTAATGATCATATTACCTCCTCTAGTTTTTTCCTCTATCTTGTGCACCATTTCTTCCACCAATAGTATTTGATCATCAATGCCCATCCCTTTTTGAAAACCAGTCTGCTCTGATGAAATTATTTTGGGTAGGATGTTCTGTATTCTGTCTGCTAGAAGCCTTGTGTTGATTTTGCTCATAAAGGTAGATAAAGAGATGGGTCTGTACTCCCCAAATTCTTTAGGGTCTTCCTTTTTGGGAATGAGACTAATGAAGGTACTGCCATAAGATTTTGGAACTGGAACCCCTAAGAAAAATTCCTGTGTAGCCCTAACTACATCATCTTTAATAATTCCCCAACAAGATTTGAAGAAATTCCCATTGAAACCATCAGGGCCAGGTGCACTGTTAGGGTTGAGATTCCACACTGCATCTCTGATTTCCTTCTCTGTAGGAATTTTCATGATGTTGTCATTATCTGTTGGAGTAATAGTCTGCTCCAGGTATTCAAGAATAGGGTCCATCTGCACCTGTTTGTTTTCCCAGAATAGCTTTGTATAGTGATCAACAGCCATTTTCTGGATTTGACTTAAGTCTGTGCACATCTTACCATTTTGATCCGTCATTGATCTGATTTTTGACCTGGCCCTTCTGCCCTTTACAAAATCATGGAAGAACTTTGAATTGCTATCACCTTCTTCCATCCATTTAATGTTTGCCTTCTGCTTCCAAAAACTGCATTCATTAGCTACAGCTAACAAAAGTTGAGCTCTAGCCTTGTTATCTGCCTCTCTGTTAGAAGAAGTATGGTCAATTTCATAGGCTTCTTGTGCCTGAACTGCATTCTCTTCTGCTTTCTTCAAGTTTGTGAAAATATTTCCAAAAACTTTATTGTTCCACTCCTTAATAACAGATTTAAGCCCTTTAAGCTTATGACCTAATCCATACATGCCAGAATAAGTAGTATTGTTGTTCCAGTACTCTTCAACCAATTTGTGGAAACCATGATGATTGATCCAGGCATCTGGGAATTTGAAAGGTTTGGCCCCTCCTTTGTCTTCAGATTTGCATTGAAGAAGTATTGGTTTGTGGTCTGAGCTTGTATTGCTAATATGAGTGATAGTGATATCATCAAATGAGTCAATCATCTGTTTATTGACCAAGACTCTATCCAATCTTCTGAGAACTCTTCCATTACTTCTCACTCCTGACCATGTGTATATGGAACCAATTGTATGAGGTGTATTTAAGTCACAAGCTTCAATACAGTTTTTGAATTCATCCATGTCATTTTGGATTGGGGGTGTTTTCCCCTTGTGTTCTGTCCAGTCACAAATTATGTTGAAGTCCCCACCTACCACCCATCTATTCTTGGTATTAGAAAGTGTGCTTAAATCATCCCAGAGTTGTCTTCTTTCTTTGCCTGAATGCTTCCCGTAGACAGTGGTGATGCTAATTTCCTCATTGTTGTATTTGAAATCACAGTGGATGAATTGACTACCTTCTTTATATTGTGTAAGATTGAAACTGTGATCATTCCATAAAATCCAAATTTTGTTGTTGCAAACAGACATATGCTTATTGAAACCAATGTCCATACTGTAAGATTCAATCTTTTCAGCAGATACTATGGGTTCAATGATGGCCAAGAAGCTGTAATTGTGTAATTTTTTGAGAGCCTTGATCCTTTTAAGAGAGGATCTAACTCCACAGACATTCCAAAAGAGAAGGATCATTTAAGACTTAGATACTGGAAATCCTTATGCCCTTTGTTGCTTCTGGTAATCATTTTAGTGTATGGGCCAACATATTTGTTTTTGCACATTCTGGGGATTGATATATGTGTCCTTCCAGGCTCAGGTGTGTTGAATTTTTTGTTGCTAAGTGCAGACTGATCAAATGCCTCAGTACCATCTCCTTCAGAGTGGTATCCAAAGCCATTGATCCCCTCCATATCATCCTCTGTTGCTGGTAGATGATGTACCTCTTCAATTAGCATGGCAAGTCCTTTGACTGGTGAGCTTATGTTGATACAATCATCCATGGACCCTTTGTGTGCTGGGGGTGTGTTAATGATGTTGCAGTAATCTTTGGAGCATATGAAGTCAGAATCAGTGATGGAGGTAATTAAATCTGAATGCTTATCCACCATACTTTTTGCTTTATCTGCTAATGTTTTCTGCTTATGAGACCTTGCTGCATATGCCTTTGCCTCTGATAGAGTTGGGAAATACGTGTCCCTTATTCCCCCTTGTGAAGTATTGTCATCTTGTAGATTTTCTTCTTCATTATATAGTAGGTCCATTAAATTTGGGGTGGTAAAATTATTACTGACTTTGGCTTTCCATTCATAAATAGTGGGACCTTTTTTGCCTGCCCCATTTTGAAATCCTCTGTTGGCCACTAACCCCTGTTCCCCTGCCAGTGCTTGTTGTTTTGTAGCCTTTTCCTTCAACTGTATTCCTCTTGTCTTTTTTCTCCTGACCATTTCCCAATTGAGATTATTCTCTCCCTGGATGCCCACCTTACCCTTGCCGGAGGGAACTTTTCCGGTGGGTAGATGGATGTTGGAATTGCAGCTATTACTGCAATTGATGCCAATCTTGTGGCCTAATTTCTTACATTGGGTGCAGAAAATAGGCCTTGACTCATAAGTGCAGTTAATAACAAGATCTTTCTCCCCTAACCTTATGTTAATCTTAGGTGGTGGTGGAAGGGATAGGTCAATTTCAATACATATCCTGGCACTTTCTCTACGGTATCTATTAACTGTGTAATCATCCACTTTAACAGGTCTACCCAACAATGTGCCAATGGTGTAAAGAGCTTGGAAATCAATGAGATGGAGGGGAAGCTTGTCCATCGTAACCCATACAGGAAATATGGGGCTATCTTCCTTTCCTTTGTATGATTTTGTCCATTTAAAAACATAAAAGGAATTGTCTTTAACATACCATTTGTGTTTTTGTAGCAGCCGTAGATAGTCTTGTTCTTCTTTGAATGTGAACAACACATCATTTGGATTGATTCGCCTGATCTTGAACCATTTGAACCCCATGTTGAGAAGGAACTGCTTAATGTTTGATAGATGGACCTCTACCTTGAATCTGCCTACTACAGAATGATGTAGCTTTAACTCTAATATGCTTTCTTCTTCTTCTTCTTCTTCATTGAAACTCACTGATGGCATAGTATTGTAAAATCCCTCTATCTTTCCAACTGGTTTTTCATTTGTGGCTTGGAAGAGTTGATTGAAGTGTTTGATAAAGGGCTGTTGTTTGGCCGGATTCTTTGCCGGAGAACCCACCAGAAAATTTTCTCTCTCTAGAGCCATCCTCGAATCTTCCGGCCAAAATATATATATTTTGGTTCAGGTGAGAATGCAATCTAATGAAAGAAATAAGAATGAATCTGTTGCATTAGATTGTGAGATCTAAGGGTTAGGATTGCATCAAAATTAGGTGCACAAAGATGGTTTGAAAATGCATCATGTCGAAATGCACCATAATCCTTTGAAACTGCACTATCTCAAAATTTGAGTGCAGAATGCAATCTGAGCCGCACGATGCATCAGATCCAAAGGCCAGATTTTATTCTTATTTCTTTCACCAAGGTGCATTCTCACTTGAACCAACCCCTATATATATATATATATATATATATATATATATATATATATATATATATATATATATATATATATATATATATATATATATATATATATATATATATATATATATATATATATATATATATATATATATATTAAACAAAATTTTTATTCAAATAAGAAGAAAGAAAGGTACAGCGGAGGGGAGGACTAGGCCAATGCCCCTCTAGAAATGCATGAAAAAAAAACTGAATGAGAAGTGAATCGAAAAAACTACATATGGTCATTCCCAAATTATAAAACCCGGGTGCTGATCCAAGGCAAGGTTTCTGGGCATTATTTTCTTTGGCCTTTTCCCATCTGCCCCAATTGGGCCGACGGGTCCAACATGCCAAAAGGGCCCAGAATAACTTTTGGTGGTGACGATTTTCTCCCTTGTGGTTGATTTGCGGCTGGGCCAGTATCTAGTGATCTCGCTCACCGTTCCAACTTCAAGATTTGGATCGTAGCTTCTAGTTTTAATCGTCCTTGGTGCAGTTCCCCTCTTCCCCGCTTTTTTGTTGCGTCTGTTCTGGACATCTTGGAAGTCGTTAGGGTCCTCCCTTAGGTTACTTGTCTTCGCTTCTTCATAGGACCTGATTTCATAGTGCTGTCCGTCCACCTCAAAAGATTGAAGAACAGGGCCGATAGTAGTTTGGTCATTACCTGTATTGTTAGTTACTGGTGGGAAAAAACTTGTGCTAAAAGAAGGATCAGAAATAGTTTCATCATCTCCTTTGATAGAAGGGGATAGCGTGCCATCCATCTCTTTCTCGAGGGAAAGAGTGTGTGCATCACTATTATAATTTTGGGCTGGAAAATCCTCCGTTGTTATAGTTAAGGGAGGGAATTCTTCTTCGTACTGTGTGCCTTCCAAATCTGTCTTGGGGGACAGTTTGTGTGCCACACAGCTTTGTTCAATCTCGGAATTAGGGTCGATGTAAGTTGGATTTTGGATGGTCTCCTGAGCATCCTCACCAACACAGATTTGTTCAAGCTCTACCAACACAGCTTTGACTTCAGCACTGCCAGCTGGCTCGGGAGCCATAGCATCCCTACCATTAACAATGGTGGTTGCCAAAGCTTCAACTCTTGCCATATTTGTATACATGTCACTTGCAGATTGTACCTCATGATCTATTTCAAGGGTTTCAGCTCCAGGTTCTAGTATCTGTTCTAGATTAATTGACTCAGATTTTTGATCAGATTGAATCAAATTTGTTTCAACCTGGGCAGGAGAATTTGTTTCTACAGAAGTATCATTCTCATTTTCATTAGCACCATCCTGATTCTGATCATCAGCTTGTTTTGCCACTAGTTTTAAGGTGGTGTCCACCGTTTGCAACAGAGGGACGGCTACAGCAAGAGCTGTATTCCCAGTCCCTGGCGATTCCTTCACCACCCATCTAGAGGATTTTGTGGTTTTTTTGCAGTTTTTGTGTCCAAAGGATTTCAAGAGGGGCAGTATTCAGGGAGATCTTCATAGTGGATAGGTTGATGAAAAGTAAGTTGTCCAAGATATATATATATATATATATATATCTATGTGTGTGTGTAGGATTGACTCCAGTGAGATGACATCTTATGGTTCGATGACATGCTTCGGTCATATGACACAAAGCTCACCACTGCCCACTGCAAAGCTCACCAAACACAACTACAAAGCTAACCAAACTGTAAGGCAAAGCTCACCAGCATTGACCGCCGCCGGTCTCCGGTCGCTGCCGCCGGTCACCGCCGCCGCCATACTCCGGTCGCGGGCCGCTGCTTTGCCGCCTCGGCCGCCGTTGACTGGTGTTGCTATTTTATTTTTAATTAATTTTTTAATTATCAAAATTAAAAAAAAAGGTGAGTTTTGGGGTTCAAAATAGTGAGTTTTGCTTTATTTCCAGGTGAGCTTTGCATTGTCCATTGGTGAGCTTTGTAGTGTAGTGTGGTGAGCTTTGCGTCATCTGACCGAAACATGTCATCGCACTGTAAGGTGTCATCTCACTGGAGTCAATCCCATATATATCTATATATACATACATACATATACATACATACATACATACATATATATATATATATATATATATATATATGTATGTATGTATGTATGTATGTATGTATGTATGTATGTATATAACGCTTTGTGATAAACGGGACAGAACAAGCTACATTTTCCATGTCCCAATCGTGTTCAGTTTTAAACCAAATGAAACAACAGTACCAAAATGATTTGGAGTGGGCCAATGGGAATGAGATTTATGCCCATGTAACACATATTTTTATTATGTGGCTTGACTTATCATTTATCTAATGAATTTATCATTGACCACACAAATACATACATGTTTAATTGATAATTTTTTGATGGACGTAATTATCACTACGACTTAATTAGGTTTTCTCCTTGGGTTTATATTTAGAGATCATTAGGAAGCGATTCACACACTATCATATGCCTCACGTATTCCTCTCTATTTTGGTGAGTCTCATCCTCACTATAGTATCATAACAATACACCCTAAATGAGAACTCGATCGACATTAGAATTTTGATCCCATCTCTCACTATGTGTTTAAGATTATCAGATACACATGATTTAATTCTTGATTTATATTTTATGTAACCATTATCATAACTTTTCTCTAAAAAAACATCCATAAAGAAATATTGTTTTCATATAAATATAGAAGGGATGTGTATGGGTGTTGTGTAAAATAGTATGGTTTGGGCACTATTGGGCTCGGTGTTATACAAAAATATGTTTAGGGTATCTCCGATTTTTTGTTTATGACTGTTGTAGAAATAATACATCGGGAAAATAAATAATAAAAAAATAATACGAACTTATAACACATTAGGATTTTACAACGAAAATAAAATAAAAAATAAATACAAGACGTCACCGGTGGTCGGAAAACGAACAGATATGGAAGGAAAGCAGAGTCGCCAGAGCTTTCCTTAAGGTAGTATCGCCCGCCTCTCGCACTGACAACAACGTAAAAAATCTCCTCCCAAGATAAAACTGCTAACGTGCAAAGTCTAGACTGGTAGAACAATGCACCGACGAACTGGAACAAAGTAGAGTTATTCACCAGAAGAAAAGATCAAAACACTGAGAGAGAGAGAGAGAGTTGGAATGCATAGAACTTTTCGAGTGTGTGTTCTCTTCACTAGAACAAGACCTCCTTAAATAAGAGATGGTCTTGGTCGGATGGTACAAACTTGGACAGCTTGGGCGGAACAACCAAAGAGTCACCAGAGACCCTTTAGATGTATGCATGCATGCCTATTACTTTCGTCACTTTGTTATTAACGAAGTGTCCATGCGTGTTCGATTCGGTCTCGTAAAAAGATAAGGTGTGACGCCTCGAAACCCGACGTAGTATTTTTAATTAATTTATATAATTAATTAATTACTGAGTTGATCGGTCAATGCGAAGATTATTTTCTAATCTGCGTATTTAATATGAGAGTTGACCTACATTGTAGGGCTCGCTATTCTGAACCCGACCGCTCAAACAGATTGACAATAGGACTTGGTGGGCCCAAGATACAATTCCCGTTCATTTTCCGTCGGCTCTTCTTCCTAGTTCGCGGACGCCATTCGTCAGCCAGTAGCAGTGGCGCTTCCGAGCCCCGCCAGGACGCCGCCGTCGCCTATGTCCTCCGTCCTCCTTCCCCGTGATGTAGTAGTTCCGGCCGCGCCAGGGAGTTGCAGCGGCAAACTCTTTCTCCTCCAATTCGGCTTCAATTCCTTTGATTTCTAGGTGATTTGTTGTCCAATTATCTATCGTTAGCGTTAATTCATAGATTAGGATCTTGTTTGTATTAATCTTGGGTTTGATTGTGGAATTTACGGTTGATTGTGCATTGAGTTGAGTTGGAGGTGTGTTGGGGGCTGTTTTCCACTAGTGGCTACTGCTGGCTGTTTTCCAGACGGGTCAAATTTGGATCCAATTGGTCTGATTTGGACCCAAGTAAGTTATTTTAATATTGTTAGGTTTAATCTTGTTGTTTGAGCATGATGGTAATCGATGAGAAGTGATTCTTCTGATAGGCCGCTGAGTGTGTTGTTCTGTTTATGGTTCTGTTTAGTATCGAGTGGTCCAGGGTTCAAAACGTACGTACGGGAGTCACTGTTCTACTTAAGGAATTCCTTGGTAAAGACTCCAACCCACCCATTGAGGATTCTCTTTGGGTTTGTCCGAGCATCGGCCTTAAGGGATCCTCTCGAGCGTGTGTAACTCTAGTCTTTTGAATTAAGCCTTAGTGATGTAGGGACAAAATTAGCCCATTGAGAATAAATGAACTAGAACTCTTGGATTCTTGTATCTGAAAATAAATGCTGATTGTTCACTCATATTGCATATTATATAAATGCGATACAATCTGTAAAATTAATTCTAGCGTTAGATATTTCAGTACTCTCACTCAGCTTTTAGCTGAGCGTTTAGTCTTGTTGTCTTTGACTGCACGCAGGTAGGGATTTGAGTCACGGCGGCTAGCCTAGAGGACGTAGACGCGTGACACCGTGGATGATGGCACCATTTTTCGTATGGACATTTAACTATTGCATTAATTAATTATTTGGGTTAAACATTTATTGTATAACATTATTTTGAGACTTCCGCACTTGATGGACTTTAGTCTAATTTTTTCGTAATTAACTGGGTGTTTGGATGTTTTTGAATAATTTGTCTAAATTGTTGTGTGTATATCAATTTAGTAGCAACCCGATTCGTTAAGTCCTTGGTTCGGGTTACACGAGTTGGGGTGTTACATTCTGGCATCAGAGAATGTGGTTTTAAAAATGATTCTTTGCCAAAATAATTAAATGTATGTTTAAAAAAGGGTATAGTTAAATGCATATTTAAAAAATATGAATAAATGAAAATGAAAATCTCAAAAAAAAATAGTTCTAAAAATGGGCATCCACAGTTTCGCGACGTCACTACTTCAGGAGGTAACTTTGAATCCTTATTATGTGCTTATGTGAAATTGTTGTCTTGATTGTTTGTGAACTAACATGTGGGTTATCAAAAAAAGTTTCCAAAAAAGGGAACATAAACAAAAGAAGATTGAAAAAAAACCGAAGAAGTAAATTATAGAAAAAGAATTCATAATTATTCATGAAGACTAGTGCGATCATGTTACTAAAGGAAAATCATGCGCCACGTGCTAACTCAGCGCGTAGGCGACTTCAAGAAGAAAAAAATTGGAAAAGTAGTTTTAAGAAGTTACTTTTGAAGCTGAACTGCTAAGGTTTTAAGGTGATAAATTACAAAATAAAAAGAGCACAATGACAAAAAAAACTCCGCAAACGTGATAAGATGTAGTCGGTTATGGGGAAGCTTTCTTGGATTGAGGATACAGCCTCGTGTTATTCTGAAGAATATAATCAACTTCACTCTTTATGACATCTCTCCACTGAGGTCCTTCAATTGAGGTTAGAGCCTCGTGATAGGTTTGTGGTTCCTATTCTACCAGACAGGTTAGAATGTTGGGTTCATTCTCCATTAAAAATGACAAAGTTCCTTTGTAAAATTCTATGAGATATGTTATGAAGTCAGAACCGAACATCTTTTCAGTTCGTATTCTTTTACTTCGTCTCAATTCAGTTTCATTTTTTCATCATCGTCACCGAATTCAACTGATTTGGATCATCGTTATCCATCATCTCAGTATGAGAATGTTTGGACAAACTAGCTTCGTCGCTTGACTTACACGAAAAAATGTGCTAAAAAACGTTGCATTTCGTGACTCTATGATTGTGTTCTTGTGTGGGACATGGTGTTTGAAAAGTCGATTTTGGATTTGTTCTTTTTATTGTTTTAGCCATTTTTTATACTTTTAGATTTTAATTTTTAGTTGATTAGCTCAATTTTATTTTAATTCCCATTTTTATAGTATTTAATTTTTCTTTCATAAATAGTAGTTTTTTAATCATTGTTTACATTCTATCATTTTTATTATTTTTCCTAACTCAAATTTTCAGATATCTTATTTTGTAAAGAAAAATATTGCAAAAGGCCGAATTGAAGCTCTAGTTTGAAAAAAAATTGAATTTAGGCCAGAGCCCAAACCCAACATTAAAGAAATTGACCCAGCCACACTTATCTCCCCAATTTGATCTCACGCACGGAAAAACGGAGAATAGAAGTTCTTCGACTCCTTCTGGATCGAAGTAACGCTTATCCTCCAATGTTCGCCAATTGCTCCTACAGGAAGAAATTGAAGGTCCTTTGCTTCTCTAGCTATAAATTGAGAGTGGAATCATCAAAGAGAAGAGAGGGAACAACGACGAGAGAGAGCCGCGGCTCAAGCCGCGGTGGTGGCAGTACCTCCGGCGGCGGTTTCTTCAAGCTTCAATTTTTTCAATTTCATCATCTTTTTGAACATATTGGTAACCCTTGTTTGTCAATTTCTTTTTTTCTTTCTCCAATTCTATGTAAAAGTTTGTTTTTGATTCAATTTTTACATTTTTTTTGCTTGTGTTAATTTTGAAAATTCTAAAATAATGGTTGGTGTTCTTTATGGGTGTTTAATGCAGAACACAAGAATCGATAATCCACCCTATGAGTCATGTGGATTACGTACCAACCGAACAATGATTTGTCGGGTGGGTGATATCCGGTCTGGATCCCGTACGTACGTTTTAACCCCGAAATATGAATTGGTCAAGGAGGTATATCTTAGAGTTCTTCTAGATATCCTTAATAATCATCATCATTATACAAGTGGGTATATCTTAGAGTTCTTCTAGATATCCTTAA